TGTATAATATATCATTATTCTATCATATACATTAATGCATAGTATATTAATGTAATAATATATCGTAAAATGGTGCGAAAACTAGATATAATCTTATATATCAAAATAGAATTCTATTTTGATATATTATTTTTTATATATTAATATATATATCGAATAAATTGATATAAAATCAAGTAAACTGTGTAGTTATTGTTATATGAGAGGTAAAAGGGACAATAATAATAAAGTAAATAATTATATAACCAACTGGAAATTGACCGGCAGATATAAGAATAGCTGGGCTGATGGGGGAAGTTGAGAAAGTATTTGGTGATTGATGATGTTATACGAAACAATATACCGGCAGTGGAAAAATAGAAAACTTTTTTTAGGTGAAGATTAATTAAAGAGTGAAAAAAGCAGCGCGGGTGAATTCAATCTCTATCCACCCAAAGAGGCTGAAAAGAGAGGATAACTCATTCAAGATGTAGCAGAGAGATAAGGATAAGTCAACCCTTTGGGGAAAGTGTGCAGGCCCTGGAGGGTACAGGTGAGTGCGACCGGATAAAATGCGGCTCTGAAGTCAAGGGGTAGGCAAAAGACAGCCTGTCGAAGGGTGTCTTCGGGGGGATGTGGTGGAGGTGGGGCTGGGAACCTTGTGGGGTATGCAGAGTTGATTTATGGTCATTGAGTCGGGAGCCCTGACAGTCGCTGGCTCTGGAAAGCACTCCCTGGTTGGTGTCCGACCCTAGGGCGACACTGATCTGCTCGCCTAATTTCATTTTTTCCTGCAATTCCTTTAGCGTGTGGGAATAGAGTTGCTTTGCTGCTGGCTTCTGTCTGCTTCTGGGCCACAGGCCTGCAAACGACGGCCCAGATTTTGCCCGAAAATGGCCACTCATTCGCCAGAAAAGCACAATGTATCCAGTCAAAGATAGTGCCCATTGCAGAGGAGGTGGACACCTAACATGAATCGACTCTTTCCTCGAAACCCTGAGGGACACAGTCCCAAATGCAACCGACATCTCCAGTCTGATGCATCCAATCCATGGAACCCCTTCCACACAGACCCTTCCAGCGGACAGACGCGGATTCTGTGAAATGGGCGAGACTGTTTCGGCTAATGGTCGGGTCTTGTTATGGCCTCATTTAAACCATGAAGCCCCGATTCACCTCATCACAAACGACAGACAAGAGCCGAAAAGTGCAGACTCGAAAAGGTCTATTTTAGGTGCAGGTATCTTTGGAAACCATCAGTAGAACTGGAATAGGAACTTATTCATTATATATAACTTAAAGTGACATAATGAATGCTAGTTTTTGTGCTTGCTTTCATTTAAAGTTAAAGTGTTTAGTGTAGAGATTCAAAGGTCG